CTCCGCATCACTTAAAGCACAGCTCTGTTTTGACATCGGCTTGTCAGATAGTTCGTTCCGTCCATTGCTACAGTTATCACCGTCATTCGTGGATTAATGTGGCGGATTCACTCGCGTAATTTTTTACACTCGCGTTTGTCATTCCTGAAACAGTATACGTGGACCATTTGGTTCTCTTAGACTTTTCTTCAAACTGTGAATGAAGTAAAAACAGAGCAATGGGTGCTTCCCTTATAGTGTAACTGTCCAAGATTACTCACGCGGAAACTCCTGATATAATCAATAACTAACTATACAATTAATATCTTATTTACACTGTGTATGATTTCTTTTTGTCTTGTTATAATAGGAAGATCTGTGAGCGTGTAGAACTACGTAAACTAGAAAACAAAAAAAGAGATCAGAGCGGATTCTGATTAACCTACAGTAAACACCTCTGATTGGCCATTGCTTTCAACAGAGATGCCTGTGATTGGCTACAATACTCAACACTGCAAAACACGTTGTAAATAGAAACTTTTGGTTTTGTAATTCGAAACCAGAGTACGCACACAAAAACACACAGGAGTTTGAAAACAGGTGACTTCGAGTGGGTACAGAATTGAGTTGATACTATTGGAACTGTAAAAAATTAGTTAGTTTAGCTTTAGCTATTAGCTTTAGTCCCTCATGCAAATGTAGTGATGTCATGGTGTGATACACTAAACAAGCTCCTATAAGGAGTGTACAGGTGCAGGTGTGCGTACCTCTGCTTCATGCGCTGGTGCATCCTCCCATGTTGCACACACTGCTCTTCCATCTCTTCACAACGACCTCTCAGTTTCTCAGCGCTCTCCTGCAGGTGCTCTTTCTCCAGAGACAACTGCTCGATCTCCGCTCCACACACACACACACACACACACACACACACACACAAACACATGCTTACGTTTTATAATCCACATTTCGATACTGTTAAATAAAGATGCTTTAACTCTAATAATGCTTGGTCTGATATTGGTCATTCAGACCACGAAAATACCATGCAGTTTAAATGCAATATATACACAATATATCTGTACAGTCAGTTATCAGCTGATGTAATATTTTTTAATGATAAATTCAGGATTTCCTCACATATTTAAATGCAGCATGTAAGAAGGCCTATCAGAAAGGGGCAGAAACCGGTTTTTTTTTTTTGCCTTTGTTTGAGAGCAGAGAGGAGAAAGAGGGTTGAGATCACTGGATGGGTCACAGCCAGATTTGAACTCGCATTAACCACTATGCCATGGCTCCAACACTAGTTATTTAGGCAGAGACGAAGGTGTGGCTCTTTCCTTAACAAGACTACACACTCATTGCACCAGAACCACCTGAGCACTCTACCATCAGGTACAGCCCTGCCAAGTCAACTTCATTAGCAGCGTAAACACCTTGCTCTCCAAAGTTAAAGAGCCGACACGGAAGACATCAGCTCCCAAAAACGGATCTTAAACATGTAAACATGTTTAATGTGCTCATATAAGCCAACAGACATTGTAATGGGTTATGTTTGATTAAACTGTTAAAGATACAAGTATTTAAATCCACCACCACAACTTGCTTGAATATGCTGCATCAGACACGTGAGCAACCTTCATCCGAGTCTTATGCAGAACGAACCTTGTCGCCAGCGTGCTGTGTGCTCATCTGCCTATAGGTTTAAAACACTGCACTGAACAGAAGAACACACTGTCACAGGATATAAAACAACAGGGCAGGGAGATCAGCAGAGGAAAATAAATCAAGTGTGTGTCTATACACCATTCCTGTGAGCTCATGAATGTTTACATAACTCTAAATATCTGTCTCAAGGGAATCATTGCTACTAAAAACTTCTTTTTTCTTTTTTTTTACTGAAATAAAAATAAACGATTAAAATAATTGTTAAATGTTAATGTAAAAATTTAAAAACTGTAATTTAATTACATTTTAATCACTCTAAAACTAAAATAATTAAAAATGGCCCTAAATTTATTAACATGGTATATTAAAAAATGCTTAACTTTTACAAACCTGCCTGCATTAAACATGTAAATGCTACTAGACAGCAATAAAGCTAAATTTAATGTAGTAAATTATTAACATGTACCTGAACTTATTATTTTTAACATCAACATTTTAAATTATATTTACTATAAATGTACAAGAGAAAGTGCATATTTTAGGTGGTGTGACCAGTCACTATTTTTTTTTCTACATTTTACTTTTTGGTACGTAGCCCTGTAATAAATGCAATAATGTACTGTTGCAAAATCAACCCTGACAGGAGGCAATGTGAACATTATCCCTTATGTATTTTTTCAAATATCCTTGTTTATTTTAAGCTTTTATGTTGATTTCATTCAAGTTATGCAAATACAGCTTTCTTCACCTTTTGAGCTTCTTTGCGGTTCACTTAAATAGTACTGTGTCACGACATGAATTTTTAAAGATACAAATATTTCATCCCAGTTAATGTAAGGTAATAAAAACTGCATGTATGATAGTAAAGTATGAGAAATGTTACAGTAAAACATGTCACAGTGAGACACACTGCCTGGCATTCGTCAAAGCCCCATGTGCGTGTTCTTATCTTTTGACAGCAACACTAAAAATACAGTAAATACAGTATGGTCAATAATACGTTCAGATGATTCACCGCATCCACCTTCTTCAGAGGTCTTCTTGAGTTCAGCATGCGGGTGCAGGCCACAGAGAAAACACCACACACAAACCAGGACAAAGGAAACAAACTGGACTCTAAACAAACGGGACAGAGTTAAAAAAAATGTGGTATCATCTAGAGGCGATTCTGTCTTAACTACTAAAATCAATCCGTATGGAGTTAGAGAGACAGGGATGGGGGGACAAAAATAATTAGCTATCGAGAGTGGCCATTATATGCTTAGAGGGAAGTGGTCTATTTACGGTACTGGTTGAGCCAGCCAGTGCCAGGCTGGATCAGGTTGCTCATAGTAACAGAACAATGCTTTGAAAGAGACTGCATTTTAAGCTGCAATAAGAGTATTGTAACAAACACAACCCACATTTAAGCAATTCAAGGTACAATAAGTTGTGCTATATAGAACAATGTGCAAAAACAGCACAATAAAAATGTTACAACACTAGTAAGGGCACAAAATGTAACTAAACATCTAAGTAAAGACATAGTTCACCCAAAAATGAAAATTCTGTCATCATTTACTCACCTTCATGTTGTTTCAAACCTGCATGACTTTGTTTCTTCTGTGGAATATAAAAGGAAGATATTTTGAAGAATGTCTTAGTGTTTTTGTCCGTACAATGGAAGTCAATGGTCACCAAAACAGTTTTCTCAACAACATTCTTCAAAATATCTTCTTTTGTGTTCTGCAGAAGGCATGAATGGATTCAAGTTTGGAATGACATGAGATTGAGTAAATGATGACAGAATATTCATTTTGGGGTGAACTATGACTTTTGTGTCATAGCTACAATGGCAAATCAAAAACCATGACCAGAACTATCTTACTAGGGTCCAAAATTAACACTTGCGAGCACCAAACGAGTAAAATTTGGCAAGTAAATAAAATGTTAGCCTACCGGTCATTTGGCTGGTGACTTTATTAAGAATGGCAACATAATGCATGGAAAGATAATCTGAACCTCACTGGTATTTTATCTGTCTAATAATGATGAAAGTGTTTGTGTTAATAAACACAGAATCTTTCCAAATGTGGAGCTGCTGTCTGCTAATAATTAGGTAAGGCTGTTAAGTGACATCCCAAAAAAAAAAAAACCCTTATATGGATGAAAAATTGCAGTAGTATTTTATCTAGGATGCCTATCTAGGATGATCCATTTGGCAACACATTTAAGGAATACTCCTTATATTAAGCCACCAAAACATGTCTGAATGTTTTTATGAGAAGTAGCATTTCATATACAGTATATGGGGAATACATGATGCTTCTAGTATCAAAATAACTTTGTTATTTGCTGCAAATATGTAAGGAAACAAAAACCTATATATTTTCATGGTAACAAAAATATATTTTTTTTTAATGAAAAATGATGCAAAGTACAGTTGTATAGTCGGTAAGAAACATTTCAGGCTGATAAATTCACTCAATTCGCCCGTTATTGGCAAGTGTGACAAGGTTATTTTGAATCTAACGTATAGACTATACATTATATATCAACACATCTCTTCTTGCTCTGCCATATTCACACCCCATGCATCACTTCATTTATGACACCCTCATTTATTTTACTGTTGATTTCACTCACCTGTGCTACGAAATTCCTGGAATGCTCGGGCAGTATTGTAATCCATTCTACACATATGCAAATAAAGCTTTGTTGACTCTCAGACATAAAGAGAAAAGTGAGAGAGAAATGTGCAACATACTACACAATTATTTCTGAGATATGACATCGATCAGTAGATCTACGTTAAAGCACCTCAGAGGTGAAAACAAAAGCACACATTCTTTACACAGCCGCCAGGTTGAAGAGCATCACGTTAATGATCAGCACAAATAAAATAACTAGTCTACACTACAAAAGAACAGACATAATGCAGGCCAAAGAAAGTAAGACGAGAAGAAGAAAAAAAACACCCACAAAACTCAAGTCAAAGTGTGTTAATTAACAGTGAAGCCTGAAAACTTTTCTCGCACACTGGGTTTGGAATGTAGCTGGAGAAGTGACCGTCTCTGCAGGCCTGCTGTCGTCTGGAGTGTGAAGGCGCTCCGCCTGCGAGAGCTGTGTGAGAGAGAGCGAGCAGGGGGAGAGCGCTCGGCCCCCGCTGTGCTTGAACAGCGGCCTAAAACACCATCCACACCAGCGCTCAGCAGGGGCTCACAAAGGCCTCACAGCCAGCCATTTGTTACTGTGGCTTTCCAGGGGGCCCAGCCACTCACTGGGGTGCGGGGGGGTGGATGGAGTGGGGTGGGGGGTGGGGATGGGTCGGGTGTTTGTCGACCAATTAGCATGAGAGAGACCGCCAGAAAGTTACCAAGAGCACTTTAGGGAAAAAGTTGGATGAGCGAGAGGCCTTCGAGCGAGATACTGTGGACACCGACAAGACAAAGTTTGTGTATCTAAAGGAAAAGAATGGAAAAAAATATTTAAAGTAGTGTGTGGCTAGCAGAAGAACAGAGGTGTTATCATGCATTGATTGCTAAGTATACAAATCAAAAAATTTGACATTTTTATAGAATGATTCTTATATACTCAAGTTTTATCAATTAATGCCTAATATTGAATATCAATAACATGTCATATGTACTGTACTGTAGATTTACTAGAAATAATGTGTATCTATCAAAGTATCAAACAGTGCTATTGCTAAATGTATTCATTTAGGATCCAAGGGCAGTGAATAAATTATAATTTACCAAAAGTTTGCTGACTGAATTTAATGTGATGAGATAAATATACTGTGTACCACACATAGACTGTAAAAAAACTTGGACGTAGTGTCCGTGACGTCACCCGTAGGTTTCTGATGAGTGTTTTTGAAGCTCAAAGTGGGTGGAGCCAGCCGTCGCCATCTTGGCAGCGTCATCGCGCGTCACTCCCGGATAATCGAAAATGGGCAAAGAGGCGGGGGCTGGTTGTTGAAACCACGCCCACCTCGCTTGACGGGGGTGACAGCAGCAATAGCAATCTTTCCTTTGAAAACCATGTTTCTAGCATTTGTAAAACCACATTTTTCCATCTTAAAAATATATTTAATTTACGACCTATGCTCTTAATGTCAAATGCAGAAACATTAATTAATGCGTTCATGACCTCAAGGATAGATTATTGTAAAGCTTTATTGGGTGGTTGTTCTGCACGCTTAATAAACAAACTCCAGCTGGTCCAAAATGCAGCAGCTAGGTAGGTTTATTTAACCTACATTAAATAATGCATTTGTTGCATGCATTTTAACCATAGACTGTATAAAAACATGGACGTAGTGTCCGTGACGTAACCCGTAGACTTCCGACGAGCGTTTTGAAGCCTAAAGTAGGCGGAGCCGGCCGTCGCCATCTTGGCAGCGCGTCACCTCGCGTCCCTCCCGGATAATCGAAAATGGGCAAAGAGGCGGGAGCTGGTTGCTGAAACCACGCCCACCTAGCGCGACGGTGGTGACAGCAGCGGCAATCGACCTGCCACTCAAGTGGCCACGCCCTTAATTATGCAGAACTTTAAGGCTTAATATAATTTAAATGGATGAGTTATAAAAAAAATGCACCCCACTCACAGTTTTCATGAAGGGCAAAATTAGCTATATAGACAAAATAATTTTTTGAACTAGGCTGTAAACATGTTTTTTTCTGCTGTAAAGTTGGGCATTTTAACATGGGGAGTCTATGGGATTGACTCCCTTTTGCAGCCAGCCTCTAGCGGACAGTTGACGAATTACAGTTTAAGTCACTTCCGTGTTGGTTTCACGAGAGAGTGGAAGGTTGCCGCTTGGTACCACAAAATAACAAACACTGCGAAGAGTGCAGTAAAATTCATGAACCAATGACTCTTGTGAGCTGGTTTCTTCAATGAATCAGACTCATGAATCATGAATTAGTTATCATTTTGAATCAGTTCGTTGAAACATTCACTGAATGAACTACCTGAATCAGTCAAGCCTGGATCGCTTAGTGAACCACAAGTCATTCCTGTCAATCATGTACGACTCAAAATGAAGCAAGAACAGTTTTGCGTACTTGAAGGTATATTTCATAACCCTCATTCGCTCTAAATATGTATTACTTTTTTACCTCTTAAGATATTTGGGAGAATATTGGTTACCACTGACTTCCACTGGTTTAAAAAAACAAACAAAAAAAAACCAGACATTTTTCAAAATATCTTCTTCTGTGTTCTACTGAAGAAAGAAAATCATGCAGGCTTGGAACGACATAGTAAACTATGACAGAATTTGATCACAGAATTTTCATTTTTGGATGAACGATCTCTTTAAGGTTTGTGAAAATTATGAAACTTAAAAGGAAAAAAAAATAGCGATGGCAAGATTTTTAATGCTTTTGTAAGAGGTCTCTTGTGCTCACCAAGGCATTGCATTTATTTGATTAATATATAATATACTCTCGATATATTTAAAAATGTTATTTCTGTGATGGAAAAGCTGAATCTTCAGCAGCCATTACCTCAGTCTTCAGTGTCACACGATCCTTAAGAAATAATTTTACACTGATTTGGTGCTCAAGAAACATTTCTTATTCACAATTTATTATTTTTATATATTTTAGTTATTAAAAAAGATCAACTTGCAAAATATGCATCTTTGTAAAATAAATTTAAATATGTACTGATATCTAAAAATATCTCACTGACCCCAACCTTTTGAACCGTAGATATACATATATATGACATATTTTATGTTTATGTGTAAATATATGGGTAGGAAACACTTCCTAATGTATTTTGAAGTCATTTAGTTTGTGTTAATTAAAATCTGAAATGTCATCTGTTTCGAGTGTTTGCACTGGCATGAACGGTTGTGAAGCCAGGTCAGACAGCTCTGACTCACCTCGCACCCTCTCCAGCCACTCCACAATGGCAGGTCAGTGTGTGTTTGCTCACTGCTGGTAATGATGTGAGCGAGGCCTAATGTCCTCCGATCAAGAGCCATAGCCGGGTTGGTCGGTCTGCCTGGTAGGGAGCAGCGTCGAGCAGTTTCCGTAGCTGGGTGATGGTGAAACGCGAGGGCCGAGGGCTACCTAAGTTGGTACTATTCAAGCTGTTGCCCATTTGATTTGGACTACCACAGACCGCTCGAGTGCAGAGTTTGCAGCACCCTGTGGTGCTCCGTGATCCCACGCCAAAAATGACCAAATGCTACCCTTCCTAAAATGTGCGCAAATTGGAGTCAGCCGTTTGGCTTCATGATACACACATGAGTACACAAGGACACTTGCCATCATTTGTATGGTAATATATGTGCGAGAGAAACTTTCAAAACTTAAAAAAAGTACAGGTTGCACTGCGGGGTAAGAAGGGAAATGGACAGAAGTTGCTAATCTGGCGTTCTAACATTCATCCCGGTTTTGTGATACAGTTAGATGAATTTCAGGATGACATCCTCATCTTATAAGCAGTAGAAAGAGTGCAATTCCATTTACAAGCACGTGAAGTTATGCACAAACTTTTTATGTAAAAAAAAAAATCACTGAAACCTAGAATATTTTGCTATCAAGATATCGAAGAAAACTTGGCTGGAATGCTAAGACAGGAAGTACAGCAAAGTGTTCACACTCTCAAACTTCAGATGTTTTATAGCATTTATTCAGCTGCACTTGGTCAGTGTCAATCGCATTGCTATTTCCTGTCTCCCACTGACACGCTCACCCCCATCCCTTCAGGAGCGAATTAAATGGCCCAACCTGAGCCACCCGAGTCTCGTCTGCGAAACTTACACACCCTATATTTACTCGACATCCAAACCACATCTATTAGCGTGCACGTCAGCCTCTCCATGCATCGCTCGTCCCGTATCCCCACCCCCGCCCGCTGCTCCCTCCCACCCTTTTTCCTTTAACTAAACTGGCTCTGGCTCCCTCCATCTGGTCCCCTTTCCTTCAGCAGCCCCGCACCTGTTCACACCTCCTCTCCTGTTGGACCGCATTGAACATTTCCTCGGATGCCAGGGCTATTCTGGCACTCGCAACCTCTCTGTCATTCAATCCATCTGTCAGAAGTGAACTTTGTTTACCGCCAGCTTCTGCTTTCTTCTTCAAGAAGTGCAAAACCACCTCAAGGTCAGAGGCAAAACGAATTGCAGACACCACCAATTTACAAACAACCCCCTCCCTTTCTATAAGACACCCCTATCAACAAACCAACTAATCACGATAATCATTTTTTTCTTACGTATCCATCGAAAATCTGTTGTGATTTGAAAACGAACAGAGGAAGCCGAGATGTGTTCACATATGCTGAATAAATATCCACATTTTCAGATTTGGTCAAGAAATTGCAGGTTTTTGATTTATGTTTATGATAAAGACCAGGATTTCCGTTTCGACAGAAATACAGATATAGAATTTTTGAATAGCTTTTGTAAAAAACAAACAAGCAAACAAACAAAAAAAAGTCCAGCTCTGATCAAAAGGATAGTTGATTCAAATATAGTCATATAATATAATATAAATTCACAATCACGTCATTCCTAACCTGTTTGACTTACCTAATTATTTTTCACATGGAACTCAAAAAGAGATGTTTAGCAGAACGTCCAAGCTCCTCTTTTTCATACAATGAAAGTGAATGGTGACCAAAGCTGTCAATAAAGATTTTTAGTGAATAACAATAATAACTGATGACATTGATGAGTAAATGATGACAGTTTCATTTTTGAGGGAACTGTCCCTTTAAACCATCCTAGTATGAACTAAATCTCAGTTTAAAAATATTTAAGAGGGTTCTGTGATGTACATTCTGGGACAAAATGCACAAACTGGACAGAAATGAAAGCGCAAAGATGAGAAGGAGGAAAAGAGGAAGAGAACAAGACAGAGGGCTATCCCTAGGTGAAACAGCCTGTGACAGCGCTGTCGAGGTTCGCGCTCTGAGCGCGTGACGCATTTCCACAGCCCGGGGTGACCTGGAGGGGCTTGTGCCAGACTCCCCACTCGTGTCACCTCACACAGGAGGCCCAACTAAACTGTGCTGCCTTCATCATCCTTCCATCACACACCAAACGTGCTATCCAAAAGCATGCTTAGAAATCAAACCTGCCACAAAAAGCGCATGGCCGGCACAGAGCATAACAAATAGTGCTTTTAACCCACAGGGTCTCGGGCTGCCGGGTCTTAGGGTTGTGCCCATCTCTTCCGCTCCTGTTTCATGGTAGGTTTCTGTGGGAGGATGCCCACTTTGTGATGGACTCTTTATGTCATCTGGAGAGTGGAGTAGATAGGGAGAGAGAAAAGAAGGGAGAAGTATAGAGAAAGCCATGAAGATATGGGCCTTTAAACATAACAAATGGACTACTCAAAAAAAAAAAAAAAAAAGATACATTCTGGCGAAACAGAGCAAAGTTGCTTGATTAAACCTACTCCAAAACAGAGAAAAAAAATCAGATACAGCTGAG